TAGGTGGGACTTGGGGGGGGGGGGGGGGCTCTTCCAGATCAGAGGCTGCGCTCTCTCCAGTCCCCCACCTCGAAAAGCTATCCAATACAATCCAGCGCCCGCTCCCCTAACCAAATCACTGACTTCAAGTTTCTTCCCAGTTGTTCTCTGGAGTCATTCCCAGACAGAGCAGGCCGGCCCCTGGGAGCCCAGAGCTCATCTCTGCTGTCCTCCGAGTCCCAAGTCCATGCAGGAATCCAAGGAGGGAAGGAGGTGACATTATGCAGTGATTATGTCCCCGTGACTGTCAGCCAAGGCCAGGCTGTTCCAAGGGTCCTGCTTGGAGCTGGCCTGCGGTGACTGGCTGACAGAAGACGCATAACCTTGCGGAGAGAGCTTCAGGGCCGAGAGGACTGGGTGGATGGAGGACCCGTGGCCAGACATCGCGCTGACCGAGAACGTCTGAAAGCGAGAAGTATAAGATGCGGTCAATGGAATCCCTCCTGGGGCTCAGGAGGGGGTCTGGGCTGGAGAGGGGAGCCCCATTCCACAGCTGTGCCCAGGCTGGCTCCCACCCCAGGAAGGGGATGAGAGGACAGTGCCAAAGGACAAGGGCAGGAGAGGCATCAGGCAGCACTCTGTTCCCCTGACCCCTGTGTGCTATGGGATGCAGGGGGTCTGCGTGACTCATCAGCTGCTTCTGAGCACTGACCCAGTAGCTTTGTGACTATTCTGGTTTCTCAGAAGCCTCTGATGGTTACACGAGGCATTTTCTACAGTCTTTTCACCATCCATCTCCATTTTCAGAAGGAAGCCATCCCCCCGCTGCCCAGAAGGGGGCTCCTGGCTCTCCTGGCCCCAGGGCACCAGCTTCTCTTCACCCTGATGGCAGAAGACTCCTTAGGACTCGCCCGCCTCAAGTACAGGTGGAGAAGAGATCAGAGTTAATGGGAGACCGTGACCAAGGTTGGGGGCATCCTGATCCCGGATGGGGGAACCACACAGGGAAGGGGCTAGAGGAGCAGAATTGCCATCGTATCTGACAGAGGGAAATGAGGGTCCTGCTGGCCCGTCTTCTGGACACACATGTGAAGCTGGACCCGCAGCCAACCCTCATGGCAACGGCATCCTGCCTGTGACCTCCTCACCAACCCCAGCCTGCCCGCCCTGCCCTCTGCAGCTTCTACACCTTTGCCCACGCCAGGAGGGGCCTCCTCCTCCCCTTCCTCCTGTTAAGATCTACCCACGCTCAAGGCCAAGGTCAAGTCACCCTTACTTAGGAGACAGACTGGCCTAGAAAGCCCCGCTCCGCCTCCCACACGGCGGCCGCACTCTGATTCCAGTTGTAGCAATGCTGTGTGCCAGCACACGGGTCCTGGCACAGAGGAACTGCTAAACGCGTGCATCACGGTCGTGTGTCCAAATCGCTGTAGCTTGATCAGATGTGCTGAAACATATCCTCGTGCAGACAGCCCCTCGCCTCGGGCGGGGGCCTGGCCGCCTGGAGTCTACCCCCCAACGAGCAGTACCTGCGACAGGGAGCTGCCGTGCCCATAGTGGGATGAGAGCCCAGGCTCTGTCTTGATGGGACGCATCTCCTCCGCGCTGCTGCTGGAAGCGCTGGTGGTGGGAGGGAGGCTCTCACTGCCCGAGGGACCTGGAACAAGGCAGAGTCAGGACACCCAGCCCAGGGGCAGGGACAAACGGATGGCGGCCCTTGGAGACAGCCAGGGCAGATCCGCGCTAATGGCTTGTCTACATTTGCTGGGGAGAGAAGCAGGGTCCTTCCATCAGTGCAGGGCAACGGTTCTCACAATGAAGCAGAAGTAGCAGAATTTCAAGGGAACTTTTTCAGACGACAGGCTCACCGCCCCTTATCCCAGACGCTTGGGGCTACGTGTGCCTCAGGATTCAAACTTTTGGATTTTAAAAAGGACAAAGACTGAGTATTACAGAATACCTGCAGCGGGGTCTGGGACAACACCCCGTAATTAAATACGTTAACAGTTCTACAGCAAAACATGGGAATATTCGCACATGGGATAAATGACGACTATAACTAGCCTGTGTCAGTTCAGATTACGTTTTACTGCCAAATCTAGCTCCCCGGATTTGGAGTTTCGGATAGGGGATTGTACACCTGAACCGACGCCTGCTCCCACTGGGACCCCACCGTGTAAAGAGATGAAGTTCCCCAGGGGAAGGTGCTGTTCGTATAAACAATGTGGAAGCAGGGAGAAAGGCCGAGGACCTGGTGAGAGCCACTGAACGCTCTGCTAAGCCGTGACTGCCAGAAGGAGCGAGCCACTGTCGAATCTGGAACAGGAGAGCTTTGGTCATGTTCTCAGCAGTGGAAAAGGAAACTTATCTGACTTTGTCAGGCCTTAGATTAGAAGATAAACTTTCCAACATATCAGCCGACTTAATTTCTCCACAACTGCCACATTTTCCAGTGAAATCTTTAATTTGACAGCGGTACTGAGGAGGGAGTGTTCTTGGTAGGGGACCTGAGTAGTCCTCATTCTGAAATCTAGAAATTGAGAAGGCAGAGTATATATTGAACAGAATATGGGCCCTGAAGTGAAAACACTTGGGTTTAAATTCCAGCTCTACCCATTCACAGCTGTGTGACCCTTGTGATGTCATTGCCCTCTCTGAGCCTCAGCTTGCTCATTAGTAAAATGGAGATCATAAATGGGGTCTCATGGGGGTCTGTAAAGATCAATGAGATAATATTTGTGAAGGAGCTCTGCAAAGTACAGAGTACTACATGATGTTAATTATACACTGGCTTACAAATTAATGTTACAAATCAATCTGAACATGACTCACAGGACCCTGTCTTCCTGCACCCCACTTAGCCCAAAGCGAATTGAAAGAACTTGAGTTCCTGAGTGGCTGGAGCACCAAAGATGGAGGGACCGATTCATGTTCCTTTTTCCTCCAGGCCCTCAACCAGTCCAGGTGGACCTCTGCAGTCTTTGCAACTGGCAAAAAGCAGGCCACAACATGAGTTGAGCCTGCTTTAAAAGCTCCCAAAAGTTCCATGGTGATGTTACTTTTGCACTGGGTTATTCATTCCGTCCTGAATGGCCGGGGATGGACGATGCTATCATTACATCCTGGTAGCCTGGGCTGGCCCACCTAAGCATACACGATGCTCACACACTCTGAGAGCTACTGAGTTATTCATATAATTACACATCGATCTTTTTCTCACCTGCTGGTGTCTTCGATTTGTTAAGGTTCTTGGGCTTCCGTTTTCTGGTTTGAATCCCCTCTTTCCGCATCGCAAGAGGCCTGGGGACCTAGGGGGTCACAAGTCAATATACGTGGTTTTCCATTTGTACCTGATCTGTGACATTATTTACACACACACACACACACACACACACACACACACACACACAAATACACAATGAAAAGGCCAGATCTATGCAATTCCTCTACAAACCTCGGGGCTGAGACTGAGTGAATCAGGCCTGGAACTCCTGCTGAGCAAGAAATCAATTCTACCAAAAAAAAATGTGTTGAGCATGTCTATTCCATGCTGGGTATTATACTAAACTCTGGAGAAACAAAGACCTAAAGACACAGTCCCTTCTCTCCAGAGGTTCACAGTTGGGAAAGACAGACAGATAGAAGATAACCAGATTCATAGGTGATGAGGGAAAATAGAAAAGAAACACTGAACTGTGTCCTGGGCTGGGCGAGGGAAAGTGGCACATGGGCACATCAAGGCAGGTCTCCCTGAGGAGGTGATGCCTGGGTTGTAGGAGACTGTCAAGTAGATGAGGGGCAGACATTTCAAGCAGCAAGAACAGTATGTGCCAAAGCCGCTAACTGATCAGCCACACTGGGACACTGTGCGAGTGAAAAGGGGGTGCTATTAATAGTTATGCCAAGATCATGGGCACACCCTGAGGCGGCCTGGAGAGTGGAGATGTAAAGTCACTCTACATGGAGCAGCTCTGCACCGTGCTGAGCCTGGCTGGGGCAAGTGGTGGTTTCCATGGGTGTCGGTAGCAGTGGGGACAATGATGGAGAGACCGCCCTGTGGCCAGTGCCTGAGTCCTTTATGACAGCACTTTAGGGCGTCTGAATTCTCCTAAACAAGCAGTGACTGTCGGGCATCACACTCCTGAGCCATTCAAGATGCCTAAACAAGTGTCGGGGGCAGGCCTGCAGGGTCATCTTTCTACCATTTTAAAATAGTGTGCCTGCCCCACATCTGGCTTCTTTCAGGCCTGGCCAACCAAATTGTTTAGCCCCTGGTCTGTGCTAGTCTCCCATATGGAACTAACAGAGGCCACACCTGCAAATACAGAAGGACAAGTGATGACCACGTCGGAGATGTGAACATGGAATTGTTAAGAAAGAAGTGCAGGGAATTCCCTGGCGATCCAGTGGTTAGAACTCTGCACTCTCACTGCTGAGGGCCTGGGTTCAATCCCTGGTCAGGGAACTAAGATCCCACAAGCCGCGCATGGTGCGGCCAAAAAAAAAAGAGAAGTGCAGTAGCATACGTGAACTCGAACTGCCTTCTAGTCAACTGAGAGTCAGATGAGACAGCACTCCCACTCGTGGAGGAAAGTATCCTCCCCTCCCTGCCCTGCCACCCCCTACCCCCCCCCC